GTAATTAACTCGTTGCATTCCTAGTAATTAAATTCAATTTCCGAGAACGCATACCGATAATTGATTACGAACACCGATAATTTGCCTAACATTTTTTAATCTCATTTTTTAATCCTCTTATATGCTATTAAATTATGCAAATTTACGAATAAGTAAATAACTGTACCGCTTGTTTATATTATTTTTCTTTGGTTTCCTTATTAGATTCTACAAGTTTAAATAAAATTTGATTACTCACGTGATATTAATTTTCTTCAATGTCATGTGAGAAGTTGTCATAACTTGCTTCTCAGTTGCACTTGCCATCTCTGAATACGGAAAGCGACCTTTAATTTCGAGGATATAACTGCACTTCCGCGGCGCCGTAAATCGTCGTATGCGTGCGCGATTAGTGCAATTAGCTCTCACGTCGATCCGCTCTGAATTAACCGGGGCCAACGAACGCGGACAGGCGCGCGTTAATTAGTCCCATGAAATTTATTCCGCGGCCCGCGGCTTCGTTGTTCCAACAATGAAATCTATCGACGAAAACGAAAGCTCAAGCCCGCGACGGGCACTCGCACGAAACTCCGGCGTTATTTACGGAGACAGATAATCGCGCGGCCTGTTCGTAATTGACGTACCTCGGCCGAAGTCCGTAAATCTCTCGGTATCCCCGATTAAATAGCGTTTGCAGTGTTCTAATGAGCCACGCTAATGATCATTATGCGAACAACGACGAGATAATTAATGAGCTTTTTACAAATTGTGCGAACACGTGTTTTTGCGATTATTAATATAATGTAAGACAAGAGAATATAATATAATATAAGACATTATTATGGCATTTTTTTTATTATTAATGCTTTTCTTGCATTTAAATTTTAAATATTTATTAATGTGTTTTAATATATTTTATATAAAATCTAAATAATTTATATATTAATATAATTTTTTAATAATATTTCATACTATCAAAATAGAGACTTATATATGAAAGGGTAATATATCATTTATCGCTTAGAGGAGTTCAGTTATTGATTTCACAGACAGTTGTATTTAATCTAGAAAGGAAGGAAATATTCTTTCAACGGTTTGTTTGGTCCGGTTAATATATCGTAAATTAGGCATGCATTTTTCTTCGCGATTATGACTTTCTCGAGTTATTCGTGCGATGCTGTCCATTATTATTACTACGGTGTTTTTAAGCCATCGCGTCTGATTAATATTTAATTCACCATGGACGCGCGGATTAACTCCGCGAAATGAAGCATCGCCGATTCGTTCTCTAGACGTTTCGCTTCCCCACGGCGCCGCGTGCAACGCCGTATGGTCGCGCCTCGGAAACTATAGTATTTACGATCAACAGGTGGTTATAACGAATATCATATTCGCAACGTAATATCGGCCCCCCCTCTAATCGCAAGATCCTACACGCTTCACGGTCAATGTTGTGAAAACCGAGTAACTCGCGCGATAAATTTGCGGATTCACGGATCTTCGGAATCTTGCGCTTCCTCATCGTCGTTGGGATTTCGATCGCGGAAGAGCAAAAAAAAGTTAGAAACGCCAGTGCGCTTGCGTTAAACGAATGTATCGAATTGCCTCTACACGACCACGCGAAATATAGACATTATGCGAACGAGGGTTCCACCTTCACGACTTAATCACGCGATCGTCACGATCTTAATTACATTCAGGCCCTGCTTCGTTACTTGTAGCATTCTTGAATACATTAATTGAGATATATTGAGGGAGAATTGACGCGCGTGCACGTGATTGAATGAAAATATTTGTTAAAGAAACAATGTTTAACTAAATAAAAAGATGGATAGATAAAAGCAACATTATGTATGCATTATACGTTGTATATAAATTCCCAATTTCTCGATCAAATTCTCATAGCAATAAAGTAGGTACAAAGAACTGAGACGTTCTGATGACATTCAATGATGATGTTCTCGCAATAACTAGACTCCCCCTCGTCAATCTTCTCATTTAATCGATCTCGCATGCATCTTGTCGATTATACTTGATGATAGATTAAGAGTTCATTGCGCAAACTGCCTGATCGCGCGTTTGGGGCGGAACGTCTCTCGAGAATGCGATTCTCATTTACATCGGCGGCATTCGATCGAAATTAAAATACCGCTCTGCCTTTCCACGTACACATACATATTTTTAATTACATGCCCATGCTGTCCTACTTAAAAACCACACCCACATATGCTCGCACACATTTATTTACCTACGCGCTATAAATTATGCATCGACCAATCGCGCACGTTAACGCTTGCAAAATAATCGATAAATCTGCGTATCGAGGATTCTAATTGTATTCCTAATTAGTAGTTTCTCATTTTCTTAATTGAACTACGTACGAATTGTATAAATCAATCGAGATTCGTACGATGGAAATCCGATATTTATATGAATGTATTTAAAATATTCACATGACTGTATTAAAATTAATAAAATTTTACAAATATTGTGTTATAAAAGAGATAGAAGTTTAATTTATAAAAGATATAGTGATTTTAAACAAATTTAATGAAAAAAAGTTTTTCATCTAAAAAAAATACTTTTAAGAGATCTCACATTCAAATGAGTATCTGTTTGAATCTGTTCATCTTATATATAATTGAAAAATTTCAAATCCTATAGAATGACATCAGTTATATAGCCCCGAGATATTAATATTGCTTGCGAAAAAAAACCACGCTTACGTAATGCGGATATTCGCGGTTAGGAGTGAACAAGTTGAAGTCATCGCATGTGTCTATCGCAAGTAACTTAAATTCATACCCATAAATTGTGACATGACACGAATCCGACAGGTGCCTATAACTTACGGCAGCTATCTATACGTCATGCGAGGCACGAGTTAACAAAAAAAAAATAGAGGACCATTAGCCGCATTTGGGCACACATCGACTTAACTGGAGGCAACTTTCGTCAATCCACAATTCTGCAGTTGCGCAATAGCATTATGCTAGACGGATTGCGAATTACGTGCGAATATATATGTGATTTATACGTCGTCACGTTGGCCGGAGTTATTTTCCGGGAGCGCGCGCGATACAGGAAAGAAAAAAATTTCATTTCTCGCATCACCGTACTCGGCGAACGAAAATATTCCGGCTGGCGTGGTGCGGACTAGGCAGGCATATTTTTCAAGTTGATTAATATCACGAGAGAGAAAGGGGAAAGGGGGAGAAGGAGATTACGTCTGGTGAACAAATAGTCCCTTCGTTGCGAGATTCTCGAGAACGAAACGGGAACGAAACAAATAACCTGCGATGCCGGCGAAATTGATGATCGTGAACAACCGATCGCCTCGGTTGTCGTCCCGTCAATTTCGTCAGATTTTCCCCGAACGTGGATCATGGGTCGCAACATTTCGTTATCTTGGAGAACGTCTGTCACGGTGATGTATCGACCTACGTGGTATCGGCGACGAACCGTTGGATTTTCTTTCCAGGTGAACTAGAGCGAAGCGAGGAGAAGCGTGTATACACATAGAGGGAACAGATTGCCCGCGACCTACACCCTCGCGTACGACGCACGCGTGATATCGCACGCGTGATGTGCGCGCGCATTAGCGGTTAATTGGTGCTTAATTATCCGGTTCCCGTTATTAATCGCGGCTCGAGTCGCTATAAGAGGAAAAAAAAACATGACGCGATCCCGTTCACCTTATTCCGGCTCCACTTGAACTTAAGAGGAACCACTGCATCGTCACAACGACGCCGAGCGCACGCGTTCGTCAAGGATGCAGAGCGTATCGACGGAGGGTGCCTCACCCGGCGGTCGCCGGCTGTCACGCAGTTTTCACTCCTGCCTTCGCGGAGCCGACCAGGACGACCTTGAATCAGGTATCTAAAATACGGAGTTGCATGCAGCACAATTTCGCCGTAAGCGAAATCACGAGTAAATATAATATGCTATAATTGCCGATATGCTGTAATTGCGAGGTCGTTATGTTACTGAAGAGGGTATCTCATTATCAGTCAGATGTAGTGGCAGGTGTTTATATCGATGTTTTAAGTAACGATAATAGCGGTCTGTCTTCATGACCGTGTCGATTTTTTTATACCGTGAAATTGAAATATCACGAAAGGCGAACGTTCGAAAGCACTTACTTCGATTCTTTTTATGGGCGCCGAACGATCTCGGGTGCGTAGGATAATGACGTATACACGATTAATAAATGTATACGTAGGTGAGCCCTACGCAATATCGCGTGCCTACGCTCGTTAAAGTCGCACTTGCCTTTTCCAACGCCTCGTGATACGTGAAAGACGCGCCTGGAATTACGGAATAATTGCCGGACAATTTTAATTGCTTGGACCGTCAGCCTCAGAGTTTTCTCAGTCAATTCTACATCGTTGAATTAAATCTTTCGATTAAATCGTTCGATTATTTCCCACGTTTAGCTTTCGAGGAAAATTTTTCCTCGAAGAAAAAGTAATGTATTTTAATTATTTATTTAAGATTTTCGAATGAATTTGTCTTTTTTACTCAGGCAATTCTAGCATACGAACAAAAACACAGTTAAAAGTATTTTAACTTAATTACCTTACCTACGCACATATTATATTTTCTTTTTTAAAAAAATATTTTTTAATTATACAAATTTAATTATTTAACTAAATATATTTAGATAATTTTTAATCATATAAATATATTTTTCTTTTTCGCGCAAGTAGACGAATATTTTAAAATACTTTTATGGAAATCTGAAGCGTTGTGGACGCTGGAAGACTGCAGACTGTTTTGGGGACAACGATTACCAGACCTATGACGGTTATCGCATCTGTTCCCGCGTCATAAAAGTCGCGGAACGGAAATACGCATACCGCGATTGATACTAAACAGATGACACGCATACTCGCGCCCGTGAGCTCACCCATGTGACAGGGCTATTCACGAGAGTGGCACACTCGTATTGATACTCACGATCACGATCGCACACCACACGTCGGCGGTCGGCGACGAGTAAGCGTAAGCGAGGGAGAGACCACGTTAATATTTACTTTCATACGCAGCCTCCGTTCGCGGCAGTCCATTCCCGTCTGTATCGTGTTCACTGTCTCGAACCGGCTGAGAGGACTCACGGTGAGTCGATGTCTCGGATCCCCTTGACGCGATACTTCGATCGACGGCGATCGAAGAAATTCGCCGCGGAGTGTGAGACGAATAAATTATTTGTGAATACGTGAAGAGTGAATAAAGCGGCACTATAATTTCTCGCGTCGTTCGCTTCTACCGCAAGTGTTGCAGAAATGTTTTTGATGTTTTGAGATAATTCATCAGAGATTGTTATACATTCGGAGCACTCGTCGATAAAAGTGATTGATCTACCCGAGTTGGATAAATGGCTGTTTCCGTCGTCGACTCTTGAGAACGAAATTGTCGAATTGTCGAAAAGACGATAAGTTATATCTTCTTTATTGATCTATTCATGCCTTACATATAATTGACGATTCAGATATCAAGAGGATTGAAGAAAATTCTGATTCTGTGCCATCGTCAGATATCAGATTTATATTTTTTACGATAATTTTCGTTATGTTATAATTTTTGATAAAATATCAAAAATATTATATCTACTAAAAGAGTTACGTAAGAGAAAATTTTCCTTTACGAGGCAATTGACGTCTTAGAGTGCGTAAAAAATTATGCTATTTCTTTTTCCATTTGTAACGAACGCGTTACAGCGAAATTTGATCACGGCTAGAAGCTGATAACGGTATATTCGATACGTATCTGATATATAACGACGCCTAAACTGGGACGACAGTGACAACTTGCCGAGGATACGAGCGACTGACTGTCAATCAGGATATTATACATGCTTCAGTGCAGATTAAGTGATTCATATTAACGGCATGGACTATGATAGTGTTCTCCTAATTCGTGAGCGTTTACGACGCCGTATTCTCGCAATTTCTAATAGGATATGCGCCAAGGTGCCTTACTTGCCGCAAATTGTTTCGCCGCCGGGTCATTACAATATATAGCAGACGTCACGTCATACGGCATAATGGCCGATGAATTGCAAAATAGCCGAACGCTTCACCACGTTTGCTCATCGGCGATGCTATCGATCTCGGGCGAACAGGAAGACTTTCTATGAAATCCGTTATTACCATAAGGATCGTAGCCGACGTCAGCGCGATCGTTAATGTCAAGAAAGATATTTCCCGCCGACGAGAATTGATAGAAAATCGAGAGACCGCAAGGCGAAAGTTTCTCGTACGTCGTCATGTAATTTACGTCCTCAACCCTATCGGAAATTGCGAAAAATTACGGAACATTACTGTGGTATTCTTCTAAACTGCGACAAGAAGTCATCGATATTTTTCCCTGACGTAATCGCGATGCTTCACGAAACAACAATGAAGATGATCCATCGCAAGCAATATTTAAGTAGCGTTGAATGACGCGAGAACGAATGTAGACACTCTTCAGCCGCGTGCGATTCTTAGATAGATGACCTAATAATCGTTCAAGGACAACTCGACGTGTTGCAAGATAATCTACATCGTCGACATGAGGATCCGCTACGTGCCACAGGATATCGGGAACTGCCATAGACGTATGATACTCTTATTTTTAATTATGCGATTATTAGGAAAAGTAATTCTTTTTTAAATCATAATTTATCTTCGAGTTTGATACACTGAGTATTTTGCAAATTACATTCTATTATATCTTTGTGCTCATAAAAACTAACAATTTTATAAATACAAGGATGTAATAGAATGTAATTTACAAAATATATAATGTAATAAACTCGAGGAAAATAAATTACAATTTAAATTAAACAGATTTTATGAGCGCAAGGGTATAATAGGATGTAATTTGTAAATATTTAATGTTTAACTGCAAATATATAATTAGTTATTAATAATGCAAATATGCATATGCAAAATAGTATCTCGAGCTATTGTATTATGATACATATTATCAATGTATGATTACATACTGCAATGAAATTGAAAAGTATAAGCTGTTTATAAATTATTCTCACGGTTTTGTCGATAACATACATTAATTTTGCCAATAATTTTTTTCCTATATTTTTTTAATGGATATTAAACAATAGCTTTTACATTTTGTATATCCAATTTTAGAAATTCCCTAATCAAAAGTTCCATTCAACATTTATACACATCGTATCGTATGTAATAAATCACCGAAAGATTTCTCGCATGTGCTCGTACGTCTTACGAGTCGCTTTCTGTCAAAAATTATTCATAGTCCAAAGGCAATCGCTTACAATTGATTTACATAGACGCGACTTCTAACTCGCGTTCCGCTAGGACTATAAAGCTAGCTCACGCAACCGTGAAGGCTGCTAACTTATTTGACCGTACATAGTTACATCTGTTACCTGCAGACGCAAGAATAACATATAAAGCGTTATATTTTTTAACTTTAACAAATAGAACAGGCAATCAGAGTCACAACGCGGTAATTATATTTTCGAGAAATTAAATTAACCACGCACCAATTATCGCGTTGTGACTCTGATTGCCTGTTCTATTTGTTAATGTTTTAAATCTAAGAGTTTTATACATTATTGAGCTCTTTAACTTTATTTTCAATTTTGATTTGTAATCTTTTTATATTTTTCATCGAGTTCTCGCCTCAATTTTCATATTTCTCTACCCTTCATTTCTTTCGTACGTCACCAGTCTCTACGTTGGCTCGGGCAATCCGATGTTTGTCTGTTTCCGAGTCGAACGTCACGGAGGAAAAAGATGACCCGTTACACGCGCGATATGTATGTTTTGCGCGGTACCTCTTCTGGAGTATCGAACTCGATTCTCGTGCGTCGTCGTCTTTCTCAGATCGTAGCCGATAGAAACGCCTTAAATGTACGCTTAATCTCCGTGAAACTCGTATCGAAACGTCGCTTCCGTCGATTAACGTTCAAGTAAAATGAAGTCGAATCTTCCGCGATTAGCAAATGCGATTTAATCGTTATCACTCTGGTACAAATCGAGGAAAATCAACGTGCGTGCATGTACGTGTTAAAATAAAAAAAAATATATACATCCCGTTATTCCGCGCCGCGCAACATTTGTGGTGGAAATCCCGTTAATTTTCTCTCTGTCGGCTAATTTACATCGCGGATTATTTCTTTCTTGTTGAATGTCAGTATTATTTTGTTTCATTCGCCAGATTTTATGTGCAAAAAGTCAGGATAACGCATTTTGATCCATGTATACCATGTGTTATTTTCAAAGCTGCATCCCGCGCCGGTATATCCATTAAAAATATTATTGTATTAACGAAAATATTCGCTGTGTTCGATAAATGAGGGGGGGGGGGGGGAAGGGCATAAAGTGAAGTACAAAAGTACACGCATTTAAATTAATCATAATTCCGCCTCTGTGCTGTTGCATTAAAATTTAAATGACAAAACCAAGGGAGTGCTCTCCCAACGTATATGCATACATAACGTAATTATACGATTTCCGAGATGTAGCGCACTGTCAAGCACTATTAAAATATAATTCCTACAAAAATGTTGCCTCACGAAACCGCGCGTGTATTTTACGAAAAAATAAATTAAATAGTGGATTTTTATAATAGGCATCATTTGCAAGCATTTTCCGCACTGCTTGTTTCATTTTTATTACAACTTTACAACTAGATTGCGGCAAAAATGACATAATTAGAATAAATCAAATAAAAGGATATTTTTCATATTGGCTTTGAAATTCTTTTCCGAGAAAATTAAATTTTTAATTGAAAAATATTCTTTTACAAACAGTGTTTGTTATTAGCAATATACATTTACATATCAGTTAGATCGAACCAAATTTTTTATCAATTAGTAATAAAATAATATTCCCGGTTTAATATCATTTTTCGAATAAACAATTAATCTTTATCTTAGATGACGCTAACAAATTTACCAAACGAAGCGTGAAATACGCTATAATACAAGTTTTTTATTTAACGAAATTAATTTGAGATACAGGGAATGGAATATTCGACATATTTTTATTTCGTAGTGCGATAAAATTTCATGATAGCAAAACTAACTGTTGCACAGCTTTGAAACTCGTATCGAAACGTCGCTTCCGTCGATTAACGTCATTCAAGTAAGTGAAGTCGCATCTTCCGGGATTAGCAAATGCAATTTAATCACTCTGCAAATCGAGAAAAATCAATGTACGTGTATAATACACGTGTTAAAATAAAATGATGTTTGTTTCTATGTATGGCGCACGCAGACCATCGCGCGTTGAGTTGTTATTCGCGCGGCAAGTCTCGAGCCGAGCATGCAGGTAACGGCGCGGGCCGCGTTCCGCGTGTCATCGCATTATCTCTGGGAGCACGGTTGCGACAAGTGTATTAGAAAATGCAAAATTCTACTTCATATCGTATTTCACGATTATGCAGTAAGTGATTATTAGCTTACGCTAGTTAAGTTTCAATAATTAATGAATTTGAGATTTGATGATCCATATATGCTTTATTTTATAAGAAGTTGATTGGAAAATTGGCTGTTTGAGTAAAAGGAATATGAAATAGAATTGCTGTAACCCGTTTCAGGAACAATAAGACAGATACATAATAAGATACATAAGACTTTAATAAATGCATCGAAGCGACGACTGCTTATCGAAGTAGTTATTCCGCGTGATTTATTCGTCTGGAACAGGAATCGAAATGATGAAGAGTGGAAATTATAAGTTGGTTGTTTCGTGATAGTCACGGGCAATAAAAATATCTCTTTAGCGACATTTGGATTTGAATTCATTTCATGTCACGCTTGCAACTTTTGGCTTAGGTGTAATTTGTTTATCGTTTTAAGATTGAAGACGAAGTAATATACGAATACGCCGGATTGAGAAATTCGAATAGTGAGAAACCGTGTTATACCGATCACATATTGATTAATTTGACACGGAATATTTAGCGAACATTTATTTTAAAAATTACATTAAATATTTCGTGATAAGCGTGACTGGCTGATGCGCAAACTTGGTGTTTGTATAGTAAGGTAAGGCCGTTGCATGCCGTATAGTCATTCACGTGGTGAGACTCGAACGAGGTAACGGCGCGTGTCGCTCTGTGTGTCGTTGTATTATCCCTCGAAATGTAGTTGTGACAAGTGCTCGGAAATATCAAACGCAATTATTTTCTACGAATACTATTATCAAAATTAATTAACGCAACTAATTACCTTTCATGATTAATGATTATATACATGTAATAGCTAGTTATCAAAGAAAGTACATATTAACGAGCAAAATTTAAATCAGTAAAACACGATCACTATGAAAATTATATTGTGTGTGTGTGCGTACACATTATTTAGAAAAATTATAGAGAACATTGTGCGAAGTATACAAACTCTGATCAAACCGTGACGTTATATAAGAGACGATTGTCGCTATAATTACTTAATAATTAGTCGTTAGAACGAACACAATGCTCTACGTCCAAATCTTTGAAGCTCTTCTCTCGCCGTGAACGATTACGCGAGTAACTACCGTAAAAGAAGTTGCACAAGTGCCTTAGCGTTTCGCTTTTACGCGCGCAAACGTCTCGCAACGGTTGTAAGAATGATCGTAAAATGCCATTCGAATTCACGCCAGGGAGAGAAATCGAAACTGCAGATAACGTATTTCCCCTGCCAGACCGGCCGGTCCTTCTATTTCCCTTGCTTGCACGAAACGTGTAACTTTACCCAGACTTTATCCAGACATTTCTCCCCTTCTCTGTAATTGCAACATCCAATACAATTCGAAAAAGGTAGAAATTCTAGAAAGGATCGGTGCACTGTTTCAGTAAATTTTATACTTGATTTCACTTCTAAAGAAAAAAATATCATGTCCATCATGCAGAAAACAATTTTTACCGACTCAAATGCATCATTGCCACTATAATTATTCTGATGATTATACAATATATGCGATGACTAACTCTTGTAATAATTTACGTAATACAAATCGAGTGGAGATATCTCGCACGATATTTTCCTCTGGAAAGAACGTGAATATTTATTCCTCTATAATATATATGGCTATATTGTGAAATATTTATTATTAGTATTAATTAGACATAACTGCATCAATAAGATTAAATTACAAATAAAATTAAATTAAGCTTTAATTTTATTTGTAACACATAAATAAATAAATAAATTTTCGTTGAAATGTTTATGCATATTTTATGTGTAATATTTTACAAAATAATTAACATGCGGCATGTCGTTATCTTTGTGACATGTATCCTGTCATAAACTTTATCGTATAATTTTCCTCATTAATATTCCGCATCTCTTTTTATTTGAATGCCTAGATTAATTTCCTTAAGAAAGTCTTACACTTTCACGCGCGCGGTGCGCGCGGCAACTCTAGAATGTAATTGAATGCCAAAGCGATTATAGTGCTGGGACTACTACAGGGCCAGTTAAATCAAACTAATAAAGAGATGATCCTTAATAAAGAGATTCTAACTTGTCTATGCCAATTTCCTCCTAAAAGCAGCTTGTTACGCGAGATCGAGACATCTAAGAAGTCGCGCGAAAAGAGTCCCGAGGGTAAATTTATTTGCGTCGACGCAAATAAATTTACGACTTAGTATTCCAAGTTTCATGCACCTAGCGACCATTAGCAACAGAACGTTGCCGGATGAAATTAAAATCCTCTCACTCGTACATCATAGATAACGTTGTAAATCTGGTTTGGATGATGGTTACGTGTCCATCGCGGCGGCGCGCGGCGGGCGATCAATCATCCGCCACGCGGTCCGCAAGAAGAACATTCTACCGTTTTTATTTAAACGCCCGGCGTTTCCACTTACGATAAACGAAACTGATTCTGCTGCTTTCGAAAGTGTTAGGCAGCAACAGGATGTATGCGCGATCAAGTATTTACAGAGCCCATGATTTTCTCGAATCGCGCAATTTGTATAAATCAGGATTACTACATGAATTTCTCTTTTCAAAACGCGAGATAATCATCATTAGTGCGCGTATCACGATATTCGCCAATTATCGTACTTAGTAATTATTGTTAATAGTAAAATTATAGCAAAAGCAAAAGATTATTCTCGTGCACTAACTCTTGTAGGTGTTTTTCTTATTTTACGCTGTTGCTTTAAAGTACATGCATCATTTATGGCTTCTGCTATAACTATTTCCTTTGATTTTGTTACCTCGCTATTAAATTGCAGCGAGTGATATTGCGTTTTCACATATTTGATGGAAACCGAGTCGGATTTAAGCGCGTATCCGCATTTGTCTCGGAACTCATTCGAGGACGTATGTATGTATAACTCATGTTCGCGGTTTCATTAAACGTTTCCGTAATATTTGTGCGTGTCTTGTGTATTTTACTATTATGTCGTGCCTTGTAAGATTCACCGCAGCCGTTTCGACGAGAAAGAGAAAAGGAGGCGTGCAATTAACCGAGATCTTCTGGCGGGCTGAGAAAGACAAAATTAGGTACCTATAGGTCTGCCGACTATCTCGTTACGATCGAAACGTCCGCAGTTCTTATCACGGGATTTGTAATAGCGCGTCGATACGTCGGCATATGATGATGATTTCGTAACATTTCGCACATTATTTTGTAGAAAGTCTCTTCTCAATAATTCTGCGTTTCTCAGTTGATGCGTGTCGGCATTCGGCGAAAATACGTGATAATTCCATTGCTTGAATTGCGATAGAATTACATCTGAATATTCAAATTAGAAAGTCTACACCTAAAAGAAGAAAAAATATCAAGTATAATCATTAATCACTAACACCATTAATCATTAACTGTTGTGTTTACCTTCTGATTTGAATCTTCTACTCAATTATTTTATCTCACAACAATTATCTCACTCTAAACAATTATTTTATCTTTATTCCAAAACAACTATGTTTTATACATTTTTGTACAGTTTTTCTTGGTGTGTTATGGATTTTTTGTAATAATACAAGATTTCTCTCAAGATTTCTCTCAAGAGAAATAAGCACTCTTAGCCACGCATTCTTTTTAAAGTTTAATACAATTCCATTTTTTCGTTGAATTATCTGCAGTTACCATAAAGTTTTGCAATCTTCTTTCTTTACAACGAGTTTATCCCTTCAACTCCGGTCCGTTTACCTCGGGAAAGATTTCGCTCTTTTAACGAACGTCACAGTTTCGATCGAAAGAAATATCGAGTTTAATAAGGCCCAGTGAGATCCCGTCGTGGCGCTCCCTCCAGAGCCACGTACGTATGTATTTGACGTCTCTCGGAGGAAGGAAAAAGGGACGCGGCGGTCTGTAATTAGCACGACCGTTTGGCGCGTGCAATTAGACGAAAGTGTCCCGCTCGCGCGCGCTCTCGACGCGACGCGACGTCTCACCTGCCCGGGCCCCAAGCACTTGGCGCGGCCGGGACTCGCGCGAATTGGAGCGTGCTCTCTCGGATACGGTCGGGGCGTCCATTACGGCCGTGTGACGTGCCGTGAAAAAGCTGTCCCCGCGAAAAAGCCGCGAAACGGAGCCGCATAACAGAACCGGCGTGGCAGAACGCGGCGGGCTTCTGGTTCTGTGATCGCGGATGCGTGCAGTCGACGCCTCTGGCTGTTCTCTCGTCGCGAATAGGGTCGCCGATACTTCGACGGCATTATTAATAGAAAAAAAAATCGATACTGCCTCTTTAGTATCGCTAAGAGGCCTGGACAAAAATTTTTGCAAGTGTTCTTTATTATTAATACCTACATAACGTTTGATAACCTTGACAAATTTTTTTAGAGAATAAACATATATGTATCGTGAATATAAAATTTCCTTGCTAAAAGTACTACAAAATGTTGGAGTAGATCAAGAATACTTTTATAATAAAGTTATTTTCAATAAAATTAATAGTTGTTGCAATTTTGAATTTAATGTTTCAATGTATAACAACTCAAATAATATGAACGTGATCATTTTCTGTTGCAGGTGAGTCTAAAAGCAGATCCTTACCTAAAACTGCTCGACTAGAACGGAACCGCAATGTTCGAGGTGAGTGTCGAGCGATAAGCTTTTTCTCCGTTAGGTCTCGTTTTTTCCTCCCTTTTTTTCCTCCCGCGTTCAAAAAATTTATATATTATATCTAATCGAAATATTTAAAAAGATATCATATATATCAGGTTTCAAAACAAAATTAAAATCGTTAAATTCGTTATATAAGCGCGAGAGATGCGTTTTTTCTTTATTAACGCCTCGATCCTAATTGAGCAGATCAATCGACAGTATTCAAACGTCCCACCTTCTCGCGTGAATTTGCCGTTAACGTGCACATCCCACACTTATCGCCTCTGTAATTTCTACGGAGAACAATACTTTTCATTGAATGAGGTGACAATGATCTACAATAACGGTTATAACATTGCGTCAAGAAATATTCTCGCCTCTTTGTCTCCGTCGACTTCACTTTGAAAAGGAAGGATAATGTTCTAAATATAAGCTCTTGAACGGACAAATGCGTGATAATATGTTAATTCAAGTAAATGTCACGATAACATATCCGCAAAAGTGTCACTTCTCGCGAAGTCTACGGTCAGTTACAAGAACCTTTACAGTAATAGCAGAACTTAAAGCAATTTGTAATAATCCCTGCTAATCCGCGATTTCATAAAATAAAGTGTTAAATAAATTCCGAAAGAGAAAAATCCTGATTTAATTCTACTTAAGTGATTGATGTCATCTCCGATGTTACATCATGTTACGTATTTAATGAAAAATGACGTCAATTATGATGATGGAAAGGAAATGTCGAGCGATCGGGCGAAAGTGTAATGATAATGAGCCACTTCTGACTCGCTGTTGTGTCTTTATTGCGCATTGTTAAGCGTACATAGGCATAACCAAAGATAAATCGATCGCAAGGTCGGAATCTCGTAGGTGCGAAGATAATGACAGAATTAATTCGTTAGGCAATCAACTGAGCCCGCAAGGGCCTTGGCATTCTTTTTTTCCTCGTGCATAATGATTGTTTTACTATATAATTTGCTAATCAACAAATAATAGTGGTCTGCTATTGTATAAGTATGAAATTTATCAATATTGCTATTGTATAAGTATAAAAAGTTATCAATATTGCTTATCAGTATATAATAGGACATCATTTTATCTGCATAATCGATCTTCAGAAAAGAAAACAATAGGCTTGACACAATTAATTTTTTTTAAATATACTACCAAAAAATAATTTTGTAATATTTAAGACTTCAATATCCACATTATATTTTATGGAATGACGTAAAAAAGGTACAACTTAAATTATACGTCCGGAGTTGATTTTTTTTCAAATCCTCGCACTTTTCGTTTTCCACGTCGCAATTTCGTCGCTCGAATCAACGACACGAGAATGGAATTTACGACGGGTAGGAACGTGCTGACGCGTTTTACTTTCCTGGCCCTTTCTCGTTCACACCGTAAAAATTTAATTGTTCGCCGAGTGGCTAAATTAGATTTTTTCCGCTCACTTTGCTGTAGTGTCTCTCGGCGCGGAAGATAAATGGTTATTCTCTGGTAGCAAGCCATTTATAACATTTGCACATGAAATTGATCGCAAAATTAATAAGAATTGCAAATCAACCGACTGATTTTTACAAATATATTGCATATAATAAATAATTATTTTGCGAGATATTTAAAACTTCAAAAAATAGAAAAAGAATCTAGTCTGTTGAGTATTTTATGTTAATATAGAGAGATACGTATATTGTATGTAATTTAAATAATTAATGGAAAGTTATAATAAATAAAATGTTTAAATTATCAAGTGTTGAATAAGTCAAAGGCTGTATTCTCTGAACGTACAGAATGCAACTTTATCGACATTGCATCGGTACAAGAGCTTGTGAAGCACGTGGCGTCAGCTACGGAGCGTACTGGAAACGCTGCAACTTATAAGAGTTGGTGATAGTTAAAACAGAAACCTTCTCTCTACAATTAAATTATGTCAATAAAATCAATTAATCCTATTTTATATTTTAAATAACCGATACTAGATTACATCGAGGCAATATATTGATTTTAGTCGATTTTTTCTATGTATTTAGAGATACATACTTAAAAATTTTAAAAATCAGAGAAGTTTTTTTGCGATTTTTTAAATTAATAAGAAATTTCTTATGATATTTAGAATAACAATCACCAACATTAAAAGAGTTTATAATTTTTGCAACATTGGACAATTTAACAAACTGCTAAAGAATTCTACACTAATTGCAATAGAAAATTTAGTTTCGGTAAATTGAATTGGTTTTCACATATGATGTAGCTCATTCTCTTTCAAATTACTATTACTGTCTTTCAAATTAAGAAAAATGATGGGATTGAATAAGACACATTTCGAAAGATTTTCAGAACATATATTAAGATTTGCTAATTGTACATACATTACAAAGAACAAGTTTTACATTTTTTATACACTTTAGTTTAAAAACTATTCATTAATAAATCTAGTGTTCATGACATCTTTTGTTCATTAGATATGAACTACATCATATGTGAAAACTCAATTTATCGAATTTTCGTATAATTAGCGCGAGATTTTTTTGAGATTAGATAATAATTATATTTCTTGGGAATTATAGAAAATTTTTCTCGCAACATTAATAATATTTTATTATAACACATCATTTATTTCGCTTTTTCGAAACGATGGACGAGAATGATCGAAACATATAAGGCGATACGACGCGCATCGTTAATTACTACCGGTAATTAATGTAAGCGTATACGAAGCCATCGGGTAGCGCCTTCGAAGTATCGCCGTGTCAAACTCTCGCCACATCAGATTCTTTCCATGCGCGTGTCGTCGTACAGTACTCTATTAACGGTCACACACCCCCTACAAGGGCAGGCACGTGAAGATCACGATTGGATCGTCGTATATGGCCGTCTATTCATCGGATCATTGACCGTGTGCGAGGTGATATGATATTCATCGGTTTGGAACTCACCGCACGTTCGTGCGCACAGGCAAATTAATTTCCACTTAAAAGCCCGCTTAAAATTGCTTCCTTCGTAAACGCCTTACGCCGTTCTGTCTAACCAACGCTTTCCGCGATCTATTCTCGCTCGTACACCCGCACAATGGACCGATCGGTCGGCAGAGGTATGCGTGACTTTTGCGGAAATTGCCTCCCTGGTTAACGATCCCAAGGGATTCTCGCTATTCATTAACAAGAAGGCGCAACTCCTCGTGGAAATTAAGCTCGCTTTTTGCGACGATCTACCTGGCCGGCGTCCACGCCGGTGGTCCGTATTATTGATATCTGTAGTTTGCCTTGGTTCCAACGCGCATCCAATTGCGAAAATTTACGCGAGTGAAGTGGAAACCATCATATAATGCTTCTCATACTGATCTCCGTATTTTACCGAGCTGGTATCTTTTATAATTGCTTTTAAATGGATTTAAAAATTGTTAATCTGCTACATGCTTTCTTGAATATTTACATCTTAGAATTAGCTTTCTTTTGATAATTAAAGTTGAAAGTTTTAATTAGTAGAACAAGTTAAATAAGCATTATTTTATTTATTTTATTATATTATATTTATTTATTTTATTTATTTATATTATTTATTATATTATATTATATTATATTATATTATATTCAGCCTAGAAATATGTTTTTTTTTAACCGGTTAAAAATTTTGGTTTTTAACATTCATGCTTTACGGCTTTCTTCATTTCATTTGATGAATGACATTTTTCACATACATTAATCGAACTGCCGAATGACGAATGTTATCTTGTTAACCAAATCGCAGAGAAAACATTAGCAAATAACATTATGCTTATTATTGTTCTCGGAGCTATTTCATCGCGTTAACACGTCGTTTCGTGGCCGCCACTCTTAAATCTCACTTCTTTCCCACGTCTTGCCGACCAACTTTCATATATCTTTCAGGAAAGCGACGCAACATTATCCCGCTTAAATGCCCGTAGTTCTTCCGTTTCGCGCTAAGTGGCTTGTACCGCGCGGTAGACTCATGCTAGAAAAATTTATCCGACTAATTTATGAGTGCACAGTAGAGGTTGCAGTTCCTTCGTTTCCTACGTAAACGTAATCCGGCGTGTATACTTGAGCATATGATTAACGAAGATGCAGCGGCCCTTCTGGAGAACATTGCGGCGTTAATTAAAAGACAATGTACGGTTGCGGTCAGTGTTTGTGTTTTACTGACAGCTTATTATTTATTGATCTGTGGTTCTACATTTGTGGTCGATAAATAATTAAAAGCAATGTTAACGTAATTCTTTTGTTGATCTAATAACAATTTCCGCCACGTTTTCATACGTTTCATCACAGCTGATTGACAGCAGAATAGTAAATTTGCTACGAAACATATAGAGGTCCGCATGAGATTCTGCAATGTCACGAGCAGCACGGCGCACAATGTGCCGCGCCGAGAAAGAGAGAGAAAGTGTTGTAACGTAACAGGAATTACACAACGAATTGAATGACCGTCGCCAACGCGATTTCACACTCGCAAATTAATCCTCTCCCTTCGATTCGGACGATTCGTAACGATAATTGCCAGACGCGCACGACGGCGACTTTTCCGTACTATCAGTTTGCATTTTCTTTGTGACCGGGATGCATAGCGACGATTGGTCGCAACGCGTTTGTATTCCGACTTGCTAGGACCGAGCATCTTCTGCGGTTGCATAGTCACGTACTCTGCACCCCGGCGCTGTTGATGCTCTCTTTCTCTCTCTTTCTCTCTCTCTCTCTCTCTCTCTCGCTAGTTCGTTCCTCTCCGCGTACCATTTCTTCGTGTCATTGTCCCAGGGATGTAGCTGAGTATCTCGATTCCCTTTTTACACCGATAGGAAATATCATTAAGTCTCGAGTTGCGATATTCGATTTAATAAAATACAAATAAGTGATAAGTATAAATCTATAAAAAACATATAAATATCTTGAAATGTATATGAATTATTTAATTCATGTAATCGACTCGAATCACGCTTGCTTGTAATATAATTAAGTTATTAATTTAACATACTATAATTGAAAATTCTTTACTTACATTGGAAATAATTATTATATATTTCAGTTTCAATAAACCTCTCGTAACATATTTCAATAATATTATTTATTCTTATATAAATTACAGATATATATATTTTTTTTTAATCTTGGAAATTAATAGTATATTGATTAATTATATTATTACGATTTAAATTTGAATTATTGTACAATATATAATCGAATAGTAATTTGAGGAAGAGATACGAATATAAGACAGATTGGGAAAACATATGCAAAGCTCTTTTATAAAGCTAATATACCGTTATACACACTAAGTTATATCTTTTTCACTCTTATTTTTAGAACCTTGTTCATGTTAGAAATCGCGTACATTCAGTTTATGTTCAGCTGACACGATCCCTGTTTTTCCTAAGGTTTTTTTGTTACTAGCAGTATTCCTGTACTTTCCGATCACACGTAATTTCCACCTTCCACGTCTCATCTTCGTTGCTTTATCTACAACACGTTCGTTTCTATCTCCACATCATCCTTTTTTACTTTAACTTGTTCCGTCTTACTAAAGAATCTTCTTTTTCCATTTTGAATTCCACTCCAATAGTAGATTTATTTGTTTGTTTCTTCTATCTTCGCGATCGAGAAGTGTGAAGTGTTAGAGAAAGATAGATGTTTGGCTTGTGATCAAACTTTCAATTTATGAATAAGAAAATTTTTTCTTTTTAAATTACATTTATAGATATTATTATTCACGATATTAGGAATTTTAACGTTTAAATAACGGAACTTAATTTTAGTGAATATAATATAATAAATTTGAAATTAAAAATACTTTGTATAAACTACATAAGAACGAAGCTATGATATGAACTTTTTATAGCATAAGTACATATTTATAAACATATTTATTCTATTTTTATTTTATTTTTCTCTTTAGAAATGCTATAAAGTAAAAGCGACGCAGCAAGAATTTTCCAGTGCTATTCCTTGCTGCTTTTCGTAATTATCAATTAAGCTAAAGTCGCATGAAGATATGCAGTCTGTGCTACTTTCATATGCTCGGGCAAAAAGTGACTTACCGCTCGTTATAATTATCACGCATAAATTACAGTGCAGTCGTCCTACGCTGCGCATCAATACAGAGTTTGAAACTGCTCTCGGTAGTGAATTAATACCTGTCGGCGGTATGTCGGAGAGATACAAGCGCACTTCCAAAGCACACCCTGTAACTTCGATGCGTGATATCCTGGAAGTGGCAAAAAAAGGCTTCATCAGCCCACTTGATCGTAGCCAAAGTTTATGTTTCGAGCGATATACGTAACTGTTAACCACTTGCGCTGTTCTTCCGTTAATTGCTGCGCATTAAATCACTCCCATCTCCCGCGAACTGAGCACCGACACCAAACACGGATGCTGTAGATGAGAGGCAAGGAATAAGAAAAATAATAACCTATTACCAGACAAGAAATGAAAATTATGTAATTATTAGTAATAATGAATTTAATTATTATTTCAATTAAGAAAGTAGAAACAATGATCCTCTATATAGAAAGAATATATGTTATCATGATTATAACATTTCATTGATATGTTTGAGAAGATATAATTAAAACTATTTGTATTTTCTATCACTAAAACGAAATAATTGTTTGACAACCTTGAACGAAAATAATTAATTTCTTAATAAATGCATAAACGTTATTCATAACATACAGATATAATAATAATAATTGTATATCAACGCAAAACTGTACTTATATATACCTATATGTATACTATTTCATATAAAAAAAACTTTTAATAATAAAAATCTTAAATCTACTTTTTATCAGAAATTAAAGAAGAAATTTTCAATAATCGCTTAGAAGAATCTGCACAGAAATAATTTTGACAAATTGCATGTAAATCTTTAAGAAATTATAACAACTTTCTATCAATATGAATTAAAAATATTTAAAAGTACTTTAAATAATTAAAACTCTTTGAAATTCTTTAAAAATAACGGTTAATTCTTTGCTAGTTTTCAACCTTGTGTTTTGAAACTCCACTACTCTGTCGGCTTCACGGAGTGGCGCGATGCCGGGAGAGAGAGAGAGAGAGAGAGAGATTGTTAAACGCGCTTAAGTAGTATTTGTAAATTTATTCCTAGGCGTCCGCGTCGGTGAGAGCATTCCCGGCGCGGCGGATAGCGCGGAATTTCTATCTCGTGAACGAGCGCGCGCGCAAGGTATGGCAGATAAAGGGAGGAGTCGCGAGAAACACACCGGCGTGCAGTTACTTTAGATCGGCGTTGCCGTTTCTCACTCTCTCTTTTTTTTTCCTTTTCTTTTCTTTCTTTTCTATTCAGGGCCCGTCGTCGCGATGCAAATATGTTCGATGCAAATGCTCGCTCGCCTGCGGAGAGCGGTGGTAACGGAAGTGGTAGCGCGTATACGCGGTCGCGTGGAGCGCGCACTCCGTTATATTTCCTGCCCGACGCGGCCGTTCCGGTGTCTCCGCACGTGCGTTCATATCGATTCACGTATGGTGCTTCATGTAAATCCCGTCGTCGGACCACCCCGGGCCACTTCGTCGTTTTTAAGCCCAGAATAAGACGCGTTTCTGGGAGTTTGCGCGAGCAAGCCTTTACTGCGGCAAAGCGCAGACTAAAAAAATCTCGCGGTAGTTGTTGAACATTACAAGAATCATCTCGTTAATAACGCACATTCTGAACGTATTTATTACAAAAAAGATCGAGCTAATCAAATTTTCTAAACATTTTTCCTTATACAAATTTAATAATATTACATTTAGAGTTTATAATTCTTTTTTTTTTAACTTTTGAACAGTGTCAATCGATACTTTTATCTTGTGCATATATTACGAAAGTAATTAAACCTCTGTCGATTGAAACGATTAGATTGTAAACGTTTGGATTTCTTTTTTTCACGGTCTAAAACACTGTGAAAGAAGAATGAGCTATTTTTATTTTATACTTTTTATTTAATGGAGAATCATGTTATAAATTTTAATAATAAAGAATTAATATGAATTACATATATCATTTTATAGTGAGGTATGTGAACGTATATATGTATGTAAATAGAATCCGCTGGAAGTGCAGGAAAGCCGGGATAGTTTGCTCTAATTTTAGATTCTGTTACCGAGGGGGCGTACGTACCTTCGGCGCATTTCGGCGTATTATGTCCGACGGTCCGGAAATAAAGTCGCCTTTCAACGTCGCGCGAGCGAGCACCTACATGCGACGACTTCCGGCTGGCTCGACGACGTTTTGTTTATTTCTCTGTTATCGCCGTAACATGCTGCCCGTCGCCGCGCGCGAAGAATCACAAAGTATAGAAGCGTTTGGCTGTACGTACTCGATGTGCGGAAACTCGTGTGAAAGGAATACTAATCCGTTACGTGACGTTTATACGTTTATGTTATATTTCTTGTGGAACGAAGTTCCAAATGTGCGAAAGCGTTATGTTGGGGTTAATAAACGCTACTCTCGGGATTCTTATACTTTGGCTCTTGCTGAAATTTCCGGACCAACCTGGTCCTCTTCTACACAAACAAAAGTATCAAACTGACAATATTTCGTGCAGTTTCTTATTATATTTCCCCATTTTTCCATAAGATGCACCCCAGAATATTCCACCGAGGCCATAATGCAACTCTACAAGGCATTTTCTATTATATACGAAATACGACTAACACATTAGCAAATGCAAATTAAATTGAAAGTTATTATTTTATGCAAGAACTGCGTTAGAATTAAATATTATTTCTATTTATGTATTAAATATCGTGATTTTATATCTTTTGTAAATTTTTATCGCATTTATTAATACGTTTGAAATAGTCTTATTTGCCAAATGAAAGCAAATTAAATTAGAGAAAGCATGTTTTATATAACCGGTTTAAAAAAAATTCCAGTTTCACCATTTCGAGATTAAATCGTATTCGTTCTGCTGTTATACGATATGCATAATATTATAGCGTATAAAGTGCGCAAGCAATTGCGTCGAATGCCATTCCGATAATAACAGTTATAGCAGTCGATATAAACTGTCTCCGCGTACAGTCCTCTCGATTTGAATCTTTTAAGAGATAGTTTCTTCCTACGGCTCGAAAAAGAAAGAGAGTGAGATTTCTCAGATTAATTTAACATTAATTAATATTAATTTGCGCTACTGATTTTGATATTAATGGTTTTTTAAATATATTGCTTCCTGAAAATAATCGCAACGTCTCGACCATTATTGTTATTTAACGATAAATATTTCCGAAATACATTTGGTACAATTATCTACAATCGTTTTAATCTTTGAAATATGTTAAATAAAATAGTATTTTTTCAAAACAATACGTATAAAATAATGTAAAATATCTGTTATTTTTATAAAATTTTGACAATTACAGTTAAGACACGTAAAAAATGCAGATATATATTTCACATTAAAAAGTTAACAGTTTAAGAACATATAATTATCCATGTGCATGTCTGTTTTCCAACAATTATAAACATAATTATTTTCCGGCCTCATTCTCAGCGAAATTTAATTCATTTTCATGTTCTTGATTTCAAATATTATTCCACATACAACAAAATTTGAGGTTGATTTCGATTCACCGATTCGCTCATTCCTCTCAGATCTAATTGATCCACGTTTCGTTTGAAGCACTTCCCCGTACGTTGCTGCTTCTCTTTCTGCAATATAGATCGCAGTAGCGGTGGAATACATTCGTCCTGAAGACCGTTTCTTTTGGAGCGACAGGCCTCGTATCTCTCCAACTGATAGATGGGAATGTATCCCTTGTAGCGAGTGAACAACTCTCGCGAGCTGGGCTCTCGCAAGCGCGTTATATCCTCGGAAATCTTCTCGGGCGAGCAAGCACGCCTAAAGGGTACCGCCGGCTTCTGACACGTGGACTTTCTGTCCCACTTCGCGGATTTTATTCGCGTGACCTCAGCTCGCAGTATCTTTTCCGAAGACATTTCTGTCGACGACGACTTTGCATCTAACGCCAAAGATTTCGCACGAGGGAATTCGCTGCAAACATCCTTGATCGCTGGTTGGACTGGCTGGCAACAACTGACTGGACAAATTTGTCTCTTGTATTTTCCCGAGAGTTTCTTCGTGGAACATGGTATTTCGGAAGGATCGACGAGACCGTTCTTGCGTGTTATTTGAGAAAGCGGATCTCTCGTCTCTGGGAAGAACAAGATATCAATTTTCAAATCTGCTCTACCTGGACGCGCAACTTTACAGTCTGGGGGGGAACGTGTCACTTCCGGTTTCGACTTACGGCGTGAAACACTCAGTTTTGAAAGAGCCCGGTGGCTTGATCTTTTATCACAAACCCTTGATTTTTTATCAGAGATCATTCTCTTGGAATCAGTTACTGGCTGAATGATTTTGCAAGAACTATCTTTTTTTAACTTTGATTCTAAATGAATACGGTAATTAACTCTGCCACTTTCGCTTGTCTTTGATGGGCACCGAGTGTCTCTAGCCAAAGAGTCCTTGGGCATTGTAAAGTATTTGATAACAGTCAGTGGCTGCTTAGCCGATTTGTCGTCGTAATGAGATGCCCTTAAAATGTTTTTGGATAAAGAACGCAGTATTCTGGAGCTCGAGTCATCGAGTCGCTTTTTGCTCTTATCAATCTTCAGAATCGCAGAGGAGACAGTTTTTATTGGTATTTTTATTTTACCAGTCAGAGTTATTGAATCATCGATGCGGTCATGAGATTTTAGGGTACAGGATGCTGGAAGTAAGATAAATTTATCACTCTTCTGAGAGCAGACATCAGCCGATCCCCGTTGCTTTACGTCTTTACGTCGCGGTTTCATCCTGAAGATAAAAAGAAATTGATTTCGAGAAAAACTCCCTAACGATTGCTTCGTCTTGATTGAATCAGTCAAATAAAAATAATAGATATCGCACTCTTGCTTTAAAAATGATAATTAAAAAAATAAATTTCCGTTATGTATTTCTGTTCATAAGAAAAGGAGAAAAACTATTTTTTAACTTAACAGAAAAATATTGACTAATTAAATAATATCGGCAAAAAAATATTCTTAAAAACGTGATTAAATGTCATTTTTGTTTTGCCCTAAAAAATTAAGACTTTTTGAATTGTGATAATTTTGATATTTGTATGTAAAGTTATAGTTCACTTTTGATGATTGATAGGATAATGTTTATTTAATTCATGATAATAACTCACGAAACTTATGTTTTTTTGAGTTGTGTCAAGAATGCGATATGTCAACTGTATCTTATGCTATATGCAAGTCATAAATATCTATTGCTACTTTAAATACTTCGATTTCTGTCATTTCTCAACTACGATTCTTTAACATCTTTTAGACTAATGTTATCATAATTAGATTTGTTCCTCTATAGTTATCATTTCAGATGTGTTCCTCTAGTCTTATAAATTGATATATTTTTTACTTATTTATTATTTTATTTTCTTTGGTATTTTTTATATCAATGTATCAGTTCTTTATGTAGTTCAATTTGCACGGTTTACCTCGAGAACGAGTCGGACGACCGTTTCACGCGTAGACACGAATTCCGAGCGGTCGCTGCGGTGTCGGCGGGCACCTGGACGATCCGGGCGATCGGTCGATCGGCCTCGAACCGGCACTCTAGCACGGTGCATCCCGGTGGATACTGCGGACCGCGATGGCAGATGGGTAGCGTACGTTCAAGGCTGCGGGACTGTCGGGAATTGAATTACATACTTATAGCTCGTATCGCGTATTCGAGCTTATGACGACGCGCGCCTTTTATTCCGCGGTAGGCCGAACGCTCTCTCTATACTTTAAATCCCTTAGTGTCGCGCCCTTTCCGATAAATTTCGCGTTAAATACCGCGGTCTCCCCGATCGCGGTTCAGATCCAGACCTTTGCGGTACGTGGCAAAGTTTCTCAAGGTCGCGATGCTCGCTCAGGCTCGAATTACGCGTCTTGTATCGCTCGGCGACTTCGACCGCTGACTGTGCTGCCTGTTGCCGGCTTGTTAACCGGCTGGTGGAGAGATATTTTTTTCTTCTACGGAATATATATCTGCTTGCAAACACATTACGTCGAGCAGCTTGCATTTCGCACTGCTTCGACGGGCAATAATTCTAGATTGCATTTACCGTCGCATGGCTGAGTAATCTAGCGATTTTTTTATCATAGATAACATTCAGCATTTTTTAAAATAAATAGTATATCTTTAAGGCTTGTACAGACTTATATATGTTTTGCACATTTATTATCGGAACTTTGCGTTTAATATCGTTTAATATAAAATATAACTGCGAAATAATAAATAAAAAGTAGTTAATGTATAGCATCATCTGCAGTTTAAAAGAGAAGTCTCTGTCTCAAATATATTAATTGTAGTGATACAAGCACGATCGCGACTTAATTGCAAACATGCGACAAATTGATATTTTAATTGCCGGCTGAAAAATACCGCATGACAAAGTGGCGGCTTCACGGCATTCATTCTTGGCGTTAAAGGATGGAGAAAAGTGTACGCGGTGGATAAGAAAGCGAGGTAAAAGAGACAGAATGGGGACAGTAAAAAAAGGGTGGACGAGATCGCGCAGGACGTGCAGCTGCTCGGAGGAAGAAAATATGCGGAGAACGTATGAAAGACAGGAACGACGGAAAACGTGGCAAAAAGGCGAAAGAAGCGCGGTAACGAAAGAGGAGCAGCCTCCCTTTCGTGATGACTCATTTACGGCTACGTACGTCACCGCGAATTAACGAAGACGGGTCTGCGACATTTCTTTCTCGACGGTTTAGCCCGCAAGCGAAATACAGAGACGTCGTCCGTCATCCGGTCTTTTTTTTTTCGGTATCGCGATGAGAATGAAAGGAATCTCGTGATTCATGAAAGGCCGTTTCCGAATGATTCGCGGCCATTCAGCGTCGCCGGTTGAATATTTGTAACTCTTGAAACCTTACAAGCACCACGTGCAATACGATATGTCTTTGTTTAGTAATTAAATATGTAATATTTGAGATAATTGTACACACAATTTTCTTTTCCATTTTAAATTTTCACGGAGAAACCAGAGATCCCAAAATCTTATGTTAAAATTAAACTGCTATGAAATAATTACGATTAACTTTCTTACTCGAGATCGCGAAGCTCTCTTGCAAAGTTTGCCAATTTTATCGCTGGACATAACTTTGGTTTCCCGAATCTTACCTAAAATATACATTAAAATATGAATATATTAGTATGAAAAAAGAACTCAGCAAAACAGATGTGAAATAAGTATTTAAATTTAAACGTTACACGCGCGAGAAACGAGAAATTCCATTTGTACCAATGACTGAAAATGGCACGCACAATGATTATAATCGGTCTTACACGGAAGGTGTAAGGCCGGAATAATGCGTGACAATGCCAGTCGCGAAAGTTGCTTCGCGGTACGTGATCACGAATACGAATTCTCATTGTCGAATGCCTACGAATTTTGCACCGGTCACTAAACTGGTCCGTCCGTCTGTCCGTCCGCCGCCTGTCCATCTCTCCGTCCCGCGTCAATCGATTCAAATCCCAAAATAAGCATGCTACCCAGTGTCCGGCAAGCATATGCAAATCGCTCCACCACTCCCCTATGAAGAAAGAAGCTACCGACATTATGTTACAGCTGCCCCCATTCGGGCTCTGTACAAATTCTTTCGCTCGATTTCGTATGACTGCACGCCCATAATGCATCCCACTTTAGGGCCTAATAATGAATAATCATTTCTAACGAGGGGAACGACGATAACGTGCGATTTTTTGTATAGGGCTATTATGAACGTTGGACACTAAATGGATCATTTATGATGTACGCGTTAAAATATTCATTATCATAATCGCGTACACAATTTTTTAACGATTCATAAATGCTTGCATGCCTTGTCGTTTCACGACGATTTCACGAAAATTTGCATAGGTTTAACTTTACGAAAATTCGTCGTCGAGCAAAGATTTAATTTTCTGTTCCATCTTTTTCTTAATCTCTGCACTTGAAGGTAGACTTTTAAGCAAAAGTTATTGCAATTACTAAACGTACAGGTTAATGTGAGTAACTTTGCCGATCGTTCTGAGAACTTTCGTCATCTCATAGAAATTTGTCCGTTTCCGCCTCTCTGCGTTCTTCGTTCTCGGAGATCCCTTAAACTGTTAATTTATCTACTTTGTAACTCCCCCTTGCAACTTTGTGCACTGTAACTGAAATTTTGACACTTCGTGATCGTTTGAAGTTAACTGAAATTGGCAAAGCGACAAAGCGTCTTTTTAAAATAAATGGAAATATGTCAGTGATTCAAGTCTTTATTTTCAAACATAATTTCTCCATCGTTTTGTTCATTTTATCACATATCACACTTTATACTTAAATATATATTGATCTGTAAGGAAATATTCTTTGTAAATAAACTTTTCTGTTTCTGCAGATGCTCAGAAAAAATATTCGATAAATCTAAAGATAAATTCGGCGTCGACTGGGCAAGCGCGTGTTTAAATATTGCAGATAATATCGGTGCCATGGCATTCGCTTGTTCAAACAGCGCGACAGACAGCACCTATGCGGTTTCGTTCCGCTTGAACGGTACAACAAGCATAAAAGCGACTTCGCACATGCGACAAGTCGCGGGGGCCTTTCGCTCCGCAGAAAACGGGAGCAACAGGCGCTATGTCGACAAGTTTGTTCGCGATTTTTGCTCTTCTAATCTTTATCTTAACCGACTGGCTGTGATTTTTATGCAAAGATCAATACCAGAGGTATAGTTTTGAATGAATTTTTGAATAAAATTGACAGATCTAATACCCGTGTATCAATGAATTTAGAGTGAATTAGCAGATTAATTTGAAACACGGGATTTTTCATGTTGCTGATCCAACTATGATTTTTTTTAATTTTGTTTGATCACTTTCAATTATAGTTTTTATACTAAAAACTGTTAGCAGTAGTATTTAATAGTATATATTCTTGTTGGAATTTTAATTAGAGTCTGATCGAGGAGAATCTATCAGTTATCTAGTACACGACATAGGAAACTCGGAAGTTAAATTCGAGAGGTCTAGCCTGAACAAATTGACTCTGTCGCTTGTCTAACTTCGCCATCATCGCCTTAGCCTGTCTTCGAGCCTTAGCCGTTATCCTTCGTCGTCATCCTTCTTTTGGCAGCGTCTGCCGTTGTCGAGACGACGAGGACGGCGACTGCAAAAGTGAGCGAGGGATGAGAAAAAAACGAAGGATGGAAGACGAAGGAGGACGCTCGTTGAGACTTCGCCTACACGCACTCCGCTAAGATCCCCATCTTCCCACACGTAATTCTTGTTCCTTCAATGCTCATCCCCCGCGCTCCTTAATCTCCCTTCCTCCCCTCTCCTCTTTTTCCCCTTCGTTTAATCTCGCCGTAAAATCCGACGCGCACTCCCTGCGTATAGCCGAGGAACCGGAATTGAGATAGCGCCACGTTAATTGCCGCCGATAATAGGATGCGTAATGGAATGTACGGCCGGTCAATCGCGCCGCATCTTTGTACGCCGCGGCTAATAATTACGTCACGCTAATCACGTAGGATGTATTTTTTTTACTAATCGGCGGTGCAATAAACGTGATCCTCGTATAACTCGCAAGCACGTCCGGGGTTATATAAGTTTCGGTTCGAAGATGGAGTACATGTAACTCTCTTTTAGACTTTTGTGGTGTAAATATGGAAAAATGATTTCTATGTTTAATCGCGACGATACTTTGTCTTATATTCCCATAATATAATCTATAGCGTCAAAAATTAAACCGGAATGACAAAGATTTAATATGCTCCGATAATTAGTCCTGCACCGTTATTGGAATAAATTATGTTTCTATCAGTGAACTCCGTTAATGTTTATCGTCTAATAAGATAACGAATCAAATTCATGAAAACAGTGAGGAAATATCTTCATTCTAAATGCGTTCTTAGCACGAATACTGTATACGAATACGGTGGACAAATTATCGGAGCTTATTAAATCTTTGTCATTTCGGTGAGTTTAATTTTTGACGCAGACAGACTACAAATTATTTATGGGCATATATAATAAAACAATGTTACATATATTACACAGGTTTTTGCTAGTTTTTTTTCGATACTTGTGTACGCGTTTATGTACAAACTATTACCGGTTAAATATTAATCGATAATTACTCAAATCATATATTTTACATATTTAAAAACGTACGTATCCTTCGTTAATTCCCTATATTCGAATTTCTGCACGAGAGTACCGTACGGGAAATTGTGCTTAACATTTAATCGCATCTGAGATCGAGTGCGAGACCGTGATCTTGTAATTTCCTGCAGGCAATTACGATTTTTACACCCGCACTGATGCGTGTAGTCGCAAGTTTCAAATCGTACAAGCAGTTTCCGAACCTACACGAATGCGCGCTAATGAAACTGTAAAACGAATGTTGTCTCTTCATTTTCACTCATTCATGTGCAGATCCGCATTAACATATATTAGTCATATTTTTAGCTTGTTGTGCAAATTATATCGATAATTTTTAATGAAACATAAACATGATGTCAAAGGATCATAAAATTCTGCTTTCAGCTTACTCAGCTAATATTATTGGTGATAAATTTCTATGTATGAAGAGAACCGTGTGATTATTTTTATATTCCCATATTTATATCACTTTTCGTGAAAATATTTGTATGACACGATATATTTGGTCAATAAATAATCACGTGATTGCTGATAGTATTATCAGTCAATCCCGTAAAAAAAGTAGATTAAAATTTTTCATTTTTATGCATTAATCGCATTTTTATTATAGCTGGATTGCTTAAAAATATGTTGCACAATTGTTTTTTGTATTTTCATTATTCTTATTATACGTCCACCGCAATTATTTCGATAATAATGAGAATTTTGTTACGATAAACGATTCGTGTATTTTGTGAAAATTTCCCACGTTGGTTCACTGATTTTTTCACTGATTTTCTCCAAGCATTCTATTTGTCTCATGATTAGAAAAAAAATGTGCGTGTTTAATTGCCACGCTATACCGAGATCGGCGCTGTCTAACTCGTTTAAGTACAGGTCGTTAAGATTCCCTGTCGTGCACGGCGGATGTTGCGAACGTCAGCTTCAAAGGCACGTGCTCAGACGTCTGCTTTCGGTGCGAGGGAGATAAGTAGTGACGTCGAAAACGTGCTTGTAAATGCATTTCCCAGGCAGCACTGTCATAAAATGCTAATTGCATTATTCACCTAACAAGGGTTCGGGAACGGAATGGGACGAATGTCCCGACATTTGTCGCACCTTTTCCGGAGTTTCTCACATTATTTTAAGTAAAACCTCGGCAAAGCCTTTCTATTCACAAATTTTAGTTCGTGAGAAACGATACGTTTTCTATCCAAAGAACGCTCGGCTCCTTACTGCTGGCGCGGAAATTCTTCGCATTCTCGAATAGAACGAGATCGATTTACTTGTTAATGAAATCGCCCATGCGGAAGTTCTACCATATTCGCTACAGTAAATCTGAGAACACGAAATCCCGGTCGTAGCATGCAAAATGAAATTTCCCCGTGTGCGGCGCGTGGGCAGCGCAAAGAGAGTCCGCAATCCTCGGGATTGCTCGCTTTGCTCGCTTTACAATCGCATCCGTGCACGGGTCATTATTCATTTTAAGCGTGGCGGCATGGCGCGTCAATCTCCGTGATGAAGAAAGCGCCGCGCCGTTCGGCGCCACCGCCGGATCTTGCGCATTATTAACAATTAGCGATGTCGCAAACGACACGAGTGATCGTGTCTCACGACACGCGGAAGTTGCATTGTGACACGGTGTAAAAAAATTTGTGACTTGCACGAGAAGCTTCTTGCGCAATAGGCGGCATAAATCAAAGATGCAACAATGTAAAGCCAAACTTCCAATTTTCATACTTCTGAATTTTTACGAAAAATTTTGTTTACTTTTTGTAATAACGAGTATACATTAAATCACATTTGTGGCACTGTATTTCCTTTAGCATTTAAAATTCATCAATCTTTTTGAGATCAGAGTTGAAGGATTTAAAGTTCTGTTTTATAAGATACGCAGGCATTAAATGCCAGTGACATTTAACTTACAGCTTGCTTTCTCGCAATTTACTCAACTGATTATAAATGATAATTGCATCATTGATTATACATACGAACATTTTCTGATTGGTACGTGCGACATCAATAAATCTAATTTATTACAAAAATCAAACAGGCTTCAGTTAAGAGTGAAAGGAGTCGCTCTAGAGTGTTGCTATAAAACGTTCAAAAGTCATGTGATGAACACATATAACAGACAACAAATACTGTGCTATACGTCGATTTGATAGAAAATAATTTATGTTATGAAATAATTTATTGTAGATAAGATTATTTATTGTCAACCAGATATATGAGTTTGCAATTTCAGATTATGTCTTACAAAAAAAGATTAATGTGTTAATTCTTATGATTTAGATTCTTTGGAACTTTTAAAATTATTGCTATACATAATTAATATTAAAGTATATAGAAAATCTAAAAAAAAAAACAGTTACTTATAAATTTTTTATTTTATTGAACTTCTTGAAGGAACAAATGCATGATATCAAGAAGTTTATAAAATTTATGTTTGCTGAGAATCAATCATCTATATGTAACTTTGTAATTATATATGCGTTTTTCTAGACAATTATATCTACAGAATTTATATGTAAACACATTTATATGTGAAATATCTGTCTATTTTAGGACATTGATTTTCTAAATTTTCTAAAATTTAGAAAATCAATTTTCGGCTTACCTGAGAAAATGAGGAGAGGAAAAGATTTAAAAAATTGTACAGACCGACGTAACGCGTATAGAAGTGAAATTTTCACATGAATTTACTTTCAAGCATTTCGAAGAATTATCGTGCGAACGCACGCGTTTTCTCTGATTACGAATAAATGGAATAAATTATAATTGTGGAAACAGAAAGCATACAAATGCATTATCCACCGAAACGCTACGTGAACACGATTGAAAGAGCTTCTAACTTTTCAAACAGCAATTTCGAGCGAAAACGCGAGATAAAGATCTTGGAAACTTCACGCAATATTTTTGTGAACGAAAGCGGCATTACTGAAGTCGATCAAATCGCGATCAATTCTTTTTTTTTATGCATTTTGGACATCGTATTTTGCGTGCACATATTTTGTCTTAATGAAACTCGCATTTCGATCGGCATGAATATCTGAAATTCGAGAGAGCTTTTTGTCAACGAGCTGATCGTGACATCACATAAATCGTCCTAAGCCATCTCAGAGACTGGTCTATCAAGAAATGAGAACGTGTGCGTTTGAAATCCGAACGGTTCACGCTGAGCCAACGTTATTTATCGAGTCACATCCTTTCTCGGTCCTTTTGATTTCTGGCCTTGAACGTACCTCAGTCTACGTGCTCATACATATTCGG